TCCCGAGAGGTTATCAAAGTCGAAAATGCCAAAGGTGGATCAAGTTTCACACCCCCCCCCACACACACACCCAGAGCAGATCCCATGTCGGCCTCACTGGTTATAAACAGAAAACACAGGACGATGGAAGAAGCCTTGGTTTGAGGTTGCCATTCTGAGAAGTGTTTTTTGTTTTTTTTGTTTTTCTAAGAGAGATGGGTTGCCTGGGAGATAGAGTTACCAGGTCAGACTTTCAGTTGTCTTTAAAGCGACATGGAGAGTGTAAAGCAGTGTTTTCACACAATGGACCAACTGCAGGGGACTTGGAGATACCACTGGGGGATGGAGATGCCATGAGGTGGTACCTGAGTGCCCCTGTTCATGCTCACCTTATGATGCCTGGCGATACCTGAGCTGGCCACACACACAGACATACTCCGCTCTTGACCCTGGTTCCAAGGAGACTGTGAAGCTCAGTGGGTATCATGCTCCGGGACTTGGGGCAGAGCACCTGGCACAAATGAGTGAGAGTGCCATCTCTGTGGGCATCCGTGGGCCCTGATGACTCACAGGCGCTGTGCAAGCTCATCCCCACCATAGGTCATGACAGAACAACATGGATGGCATTCAGATACAACTAGCATGCGTCAGGACACACCCATCAGTCCGTGGAACAGGAGGATCTTGTTCCCCAGTGAGACCAGAGCTTGCTGTTATACAGAGGAGTCCAGCTTCTATTTGTTATGCCCAGATCTCGGGGACCCCCAAAAGACCACCATGGAGACCGAATCCCGCATATAAAAGCAAAGAGCCTTTATTTTAAGCTCCAGAGCTTGGTCCCTCTGTCTGTCCGATGCAACAGTGAGAGCAGAGAGCCCTGAGCTCAGGTGGGGTCGGGTTTTTATCATAGCAGAGGTTGGGGTGAGGGGATTTCCAGGGTCCAGGACCCTGATTGGCTGACAATTGTCCAGGGGTATCTGTAGAACAAAAAATAGGTGTGTGCTAGACTCAGGGACATCTGGCCACCTTATCTAATGGTTGGAATGTTTGGGATGTCAGGTACTTCCTCACCCCTGGGTGGATCCCTGGGTGGTATCAGCTTAAGATTTTTCCTGGATCTGGGTGTTGCCTGCCAGTAAGCCTGTCACAGAAGCTGTGTTAGGCCCCGAGCCTGTCATGGCTACTGTGTGGTCAAGCTACTTTGGGGCCTTTCACACTATTCAGCTTGCATTTTAGACTGTTGGGCATTCACATGTGGTGTCATTCATCTAAAGAAAGAATCAAAATGTGGACAGAACATTCCATTTTTTAGCATTTTTTAATGTTTCTGGCAATTAATGATGATTTGCTTGGGAAAGAAGAAGAAGAAGAAGAAAAAGAGGATGAGGAGGAGGAAGAGGAGGAGGAAGAGGAGGAGGAAGAAGGAAGAATCATCATCATCATCATCATCATCATCCTATGGCAGGAATCGGTCTCTGGAAAGGGAGAATTTAAAGTTACTGACAATGTGTGGGTGATTTTCCTGGGTGGAGCCCGACATTTGCACTGGTGGTTGTCTTCTTGGGGAATTCATTTTGAAGCCAGCTGGCCAGTCAGCCTCTAGCCCTGTAAATGAGACACACACACACACACACACACACCACACACACGAATTCCTGGGGGCAGGTGTTAAAGGGAGCAGACATAAGGCAGGATGGGTGCAAATCTGTGAGCAGAGTTCTGCCCTGCGGCCTTTGGCCTGGTCTCCCTTGCCTCGCCGCGGAACTGCCCTCGTCAGCGGGGTCCGGGGCAGCTGCTCTCTCTGCAGTGGGCAGATCGGGCCCACACGCCGCCTGCTGTCTTCAGAGCCTGGCACCATCACACCTGTGTTCAGTTTTAGCCTCAGCACCTGTGCTTAGCCAGGAGCCGCTCCCAGGTCTGAGAACCGAATGGTTTGAAGAAGACAAGCCCCGTGAGGGCTGATTTGTTCTCTCTCCAGACTCTCAGCTTCAGACCTGCCAGTGAGAAAGGGATGGAGTGGAGGCGAGGTGGCTATAGCTGCCCTTACCGGTTGGGGGAAACTCTGGGTGCCTGCTAGGGGACACAGGCAGAGTTGGAAGAAGAAAGGGGGCCAGTCCTGCGGTTCTTCACTTCTCACACCAGCCAGGGCCTCAGATCGTGTTCCCCTGCAGTCACAGCGCCCCACCGCACTGGCCTTGTTGCTCAGGTAAATAAAAAAGACGTAACTGCGGGTTACACAAATCCAGTGCCATGGTAAGGAACTTCAATGAGTCAAATTTACCAAGATGCATGAAATAAGAACTCTCTAAAAGTCTTCACACAATGTATGGCCCCAATATTAGAAATAATGAAAAGATGAAATGAACAGCATAGTGATTTCCAAGAAACTAGGATGCCTACATACATTTAACAACAGCAACAAAAATAAAACAAAAAAAAAAATCAAAACCTCTAAGAAGAAAATTTGACATGTGAGAAGTTGGAACACTAGGGTGTGAGGAGGTGTACCCCAGGAACAGGCTTCTGAATCACAGAAGCAGACGCACCCCACAATAGTTACCATGTGTATTCATTTCACCTCACAGCAAGTAGCTGTTCTGATGCATCCGAACATGTACTCATCTCTTCACGAAAGGCTCCTACCCCTGTGGAGTCCTCTTGTAAAATATGAATTGCAGTTTCCAGGATTTCAATAGTTGGGATTTGGGACTCAGAGATTCAGATCTGTCAGGATTAAAATATTTGAAAATTTTTTTTAATCTGACATTTTTGTCTTTCTGAATTATGACCAGCCACCACCAGACACTTCATTTTAGCTTCGTATCAGTCTGTGTGTACCGCCTTTTCAGCTGAAGGACAGGCCGTGAATTTATTCCACTCACCGTGTGTTGTAAGTAGATCACTCAGGCATGCGGTCTGCCTCCTGTGGCTGTGTGGAAGGCAGGCCCAGAGAACCTCTCCACTTGGCTACACGACCTGAGCTTGTCTCTGTCCTGGATATTTTCCCTAGCTGTGTGGAGCAGGTCTCAGCTGCCAGTCAACGAACTAGGCATCCCCTCGCCTCATCAGGGAAGCCCTGTGCCTTGTAAGGCACAGGCAGAGAGCATCATGGTGCTTCTGGGTGGCATCTAGGAAGGAAACATGCTCGATCTCTGCCCCTCGAGTACACTGTCAAAACCAGCGAGCTGGCGATGGATTAGCAGGGACCTGCCATTTCAGGAGTCGGGAGAGCAAAGCTTTAGAAAAGGGGCGTAGACTTGAGAAACGTCTGCAGGATGGGCAGAGACTGGCATTTAGAATAAGGCCCTCTGGGACCCAAGGGTGGGGAGAGATGTGGGTGCAGAGCCCATGAATGTTACAGGCTGTCACCTGGGGACAGGGAACTCTCTCAGAGCTGAATGATCCGGCCGAATACATAGGATCATGAAGGATTTAAAAGAACCCCAGCTTGGAGGGGGGGGGTTGATGGTCTGTGTAAGTTTGGGACCCTCCTGAAAATCCTTTCATGATGAAGGTAACTTCACCAGGGACCTCCCTGGGTCTCAAGTCAGGGTTGCCTCAAAGCTCCACTGGTACAGCCTGGCCAAGTCCTTGGTGAGTTGGTGCACAGCCCTGGAAGCTCTCTCCTGCTTCCTTTCGCTTCCCGTAGCTGCCACCTTCCTTTCGCTGGGACCCAGGAGGGACAGTCTTCACTGTCCTCTTGGCTGAGTTTGGAGTCTCACAGGAGACACATCTGGGGGTGTCTCCCGGGCCCCGAGGTGACTTTTCAAACCATTGGAATGATGTGAGCCTGGTGCTGTTTCTATGGCTCTTTGTCCCAGAGGCGACGGCCTCCCTTTCTCCGCTGGGATGTCTGTGTGTCGGGTGGAGGGTCCGTGAAGGGAGGCACAGTTAGTTCTTGCTACCCAGTCCACACAGGATAATCACAATCAGCCGGGCTGACCCAGCGACCCCTAACCACCAACCCCCAATAGCGCCTCCTGAGTCCCACAGGAGGCTGGGGTGGGGGAAGGGGGTGCTTCCTCCTCTGAGGCTCCTCAGCAGGTGGGTGTCCTGAGCCCTTGGTGTCAACTGTGATGTAGCGGTTCAGTGGTCCTGCCTGTGCCCATGTTTCTGTTCTGTTCCCCGTGGTCTTAGGGACAGGAGATCAAGAGTTGGGTTACCAGGATGAAAATACGAAACGTCCTTCAGGCTTCCAAGCAGAACAGGTGTAGCGCTCGCCGGCTGCCTTTTGTGATGTCACAAATTGTCCCCGAGTGCAGTGGCTTGGAAGAGCACGCTTTGACGATCTCCCACAGGGGTCTGAGGTAGCTTCTGAGGGCCTTGCCCCGGGGTCCTAACTCAGGTCAACCTCGACTGGAGAGTTCAGCTCGTTTGCTCAGGGCGAGGCTGGACCTGCCTGGTGCAGCCTCCACTGGGGTCAGAAGGTTCACCGGAGGGGGTCTGCTTCTGAGCTCCTGGATGGACTGTTGACAGGACTGGCGTCCTCAGAAGCTGTTGGCCTGAGGGCCTCAGATGCTCCTGCCTGGGGTCTGAAGACTGCCCTCCGAGCCACAGGGCGCGAGAACACCATTTCTGGCCCTCATCCATGTGAGCAGCAATAGAGCCGGTGAGAGCTGGCCAGAGGGCTCTCTCACCTTAGCAGCCCACACTGGAGAATCTAGGTGGCATCTGAACACAGGGCTCTCGGGGGTCACCGCAAAGCGCCACCTAACACAACCCGTAAGCCGGGTGTCCCGAGGAGGGGCCGAGCAGACGGCCACTGGTTTCTCTAAGTCAGAGCCTCTGTAGAGAAGACACTGGGAGATAACGTTTACAGAGAGGCGTGCTGAGACGGAATCTAGTAAGAAATGGACAGCATGAAAAAGAAGCCGTCAAGATGTAGCGTAGGCTGCGGGGGATACGGAAACAGAAGGGAAGGAACCGAGACATGGAGATGCGGGATCACATTCCGTGTCCATTCTCAGGAAGACCGATCCCTGAGGTGTTTCCCCACGGTGAGCCCAACGAGAGTCCTGCTGCTGCCCCTGCCAACAAATTCCCCCTAGGGTAGCCATTGTCTGCAGAGGGAGGGCACCGTGGAGGGGAGCGGCCACGCGCAGGGGAGAGAGGGCGTTGCTCCCCACACACCCCTTCCTGGGTCTCTGTAGGCAGAGCGCGCCCCAGCCAGCAGCCCGGTACGCTGCTGCGAGCTGGCATTCAGCAGCGCTGCTCTCCCATCCTCTGGACATAAATTCCCAGCCAGGAAGTCAACCGGGGGTAAAAAAAAAAGCGCAATGAAGCAAATGGAAACAAAGACTAGTATAATAACCACAGGCAGAGAGCGGACCCTTGCTCTGTGTGGTCTGCCTCCTGCCGTCCGTCCGGGGCTCTCCCCCGGCTCCGCACGCTGGCTGTTCTTTCTGTCATTCACCACGTCAATGTGCACAAAGTACCTTACTGCGTGAATTCGCATCATAAAAATGTGTGCTTTGGTTTTCAGCGCTAGAGCAGCCCAGGGTTTCATGAGTACTGGGCAAGTGCTCTACCAATGAGCCGCACCCCTGGGAGAGTTACTGAGCACCGCCCCGGCCTCAAGCCACAGGGCAGGTGCTGGTGCGATAAAAGGAAGCCAACAACGGTCTTGTTTTCTAAGAGTCTGGAGAGCAGTCGGTCTTGTTTTCTAAGAGTCTGGAGGAGCAGACAGGCGTCGCCACGCGGCCCCACCACGCGTGGACACTGAAGCGGAGGAAGCGGTTTCTCCTTAGACATGCTTTGGTCAGGTTCAGCTGAGTCCTCGAGGAGACTTTGGACTTGTTCTGTCCTTGCCTGGTCTGCGTCACTCACTGTTAGCATCTTTCCTGTTAAGTCCGTTTACGAAGAAACCCCCACACTTGATAGGGCAATTGATCAAGTCTTTATTTCCTGCTGCCAGTCTCCGATTACTGTGGGCCTGTCTTCAGCAAAATTCTTGTTCGGGGGTGCTGTAGTTTGGATCCCGAGCGCTCCCCACAGCCCGTGTGTTAGAGGCTTGGGCCCTAGGGTGGCGTTACAGAGAGGTATCGGGACCTTCAAGAGGATGGGGTCTTGTGGGAAGGAGTCTTTGGATCACGGGAAGTTGTCCTCAAGGGAGGCTGTCCTCTTCTGTTCTGCCTGCTGGACGTGACGTAAGTGGTTTTACCCTGCTGTATGTTCGTTTCCACCATGAGTGTCCCCTCATCTGGGTCCCCAAAGAGTCATACATTGAAACCTCTAAAACTTTGAGACAAAATATCCTTCCTGTTTATAAGTTGGCTATCTCAGGTAGTTTATGAGAGGAGCAGAAAGTGACTAATAATCTGGTTAGCGAGAAACTTCATAGCTCTTCTTAGTAAGAGTCAATCCCAAGGCTCTTTTGCCGTGATTATTGATCAGAGACCCCCACTTGTGCTGGATAACCTTGTCAACTTGACACACTTGAGAAGTGGGACCCTCAATTGAAGAATTGCCTCTATCAAGGGGGGGGGCCCAGCCCCCGACGCCACCCCTAGGCAGGTGGGCCTGGCTTGCGTCATAACATCTGCTGCAACAGTCTTGAACAAAGTCTTCCTCGCTACTTTAACAGGTGTCAGGACGATTTTCACGGTAACCGCTATGAAAGGAGAACCGTTGATTTCCTGGAAGCAAATGAACAGACGGCACTCTGACAGTGTCCGGGGGCCTAGAAAGGCTAGTGCGAGAGTTTAGTGTGTTTTGCCCCTGTTAAGTCTCATGTTGTGATTTGGTTGTCAGTGTGGCCACGTTAGGAGGTGTGGCCAGTCACAACGGGATCCACTCTTGTGAAAGTGGACTGTGTAAAGTAGCCTCCTCTGTGCCTTCATCTCCCCCAAGACACCCACGTGACGCTCCTGCCTATCATCTCGTCACGTGATCGACGCCATCTTCTTTGTTGTGACGTAGCAGGAGGCCCTCATCAGAGGAGGCTGCCCTCTTTAAGCTGTAGCTGAACAACCCCCTTTCCTTCATAAATAACCTCGTCTCCGGTGTTGTGTTATAACAACAGAGAGAACCTAGGAGAGCTTCTTCAGAAAATGATGCTGGAGGTGAGCTCTAACTTATTAAGGCAAGACAGAAGTTAGAAGTTACCCAAAGCTGAGAGAGAAAACAAAAGGATGGTGGCTGACTTTTCTGAGCCGTACGTTAGAACACCATCCAAGAAGTCCATGCAAAGACAATCCAATTCTCTACTGAGTTCGGGCTACTATTAACTGTCAATTAGGCACACAGCTGTGTGACATTAGATGTTAACTCACAGAATACTGCTAAATTACAAATTAAGATTATTGCTATTTTTATGTGTTAGGGGGGCAAAAACGTCTGTTCAGTAGAAAAGATAACCTAGGAGGCTGCTGGGAAGGCTCAGTGGTTAAAAGCACTGGCTGCTCTTGCAGAGGACCTGGGTTCAGTTCCCAGCACCCACACTGTAGTTCACAACCATCTGTAACTCTGATTCCAGGGGATCTGATGCCCCGCTCTGGCCTCAGCAGACACTGCATGCATGTGTGGTACACATATATACATGCAGGCAAAACACTTGTACACATAAAAAAGAAACAAGCAAAAAACTAAGAATGAAAAGAAAACCTAAAAGGCTAACTTGTTTGCATCCAGCTTAGCAAATATTTCAAGACTTTTCCCTGAGAATGCACATGAGAGCCGATTCCACACAAGCTCTCCGAGCCTGTGTTTCTGTCTTCTGGCTCTAGTGTGGAGTTTTTTGTTTTTGTTTTGTTTTTAACTCTTAGCTCTTTGGGGCCACCCAGCTTCCAAATAAATATATGGAGGCTTATTCTTACTTACAAATGCCCGGCCTAGCTTGGATTGTGTCCAGCCAGCTTTTCTAGCTTAAATTAATCTGTTTCTCATCTTCTACATTTTGCCTCTGGGCTTCTTACCTTTCTATATGTCTTTATTCTATATGTTTTTCTTCCCTTCTTATTCTGTGGCTGACTGTGGCTGGGTGGCTGGCCCCTGGTGTATTCCTCTCCTTCTCTTTTCCTCCTCTCTTTATCCTCTCTGCCCGCCAGCCCCGCCTGTTTCCCTCTCCTGGCTTGCTATTGGCCATTCAGCTCTTTATTAGACCAATCAAGTATTTTAGACAGGCACAGTAACACAGCTTCACAGAGTTAAACAAATGCAACATAAAAGAATGCAACCCATCTTTGCATCATTAAGCAAATATTCCACGGCATAAACAAATGTAATACATTTTCAACTAATATTCCACAATGGCAGCATCAGGCAGGGAGGCAAGTCCTTTACAGGCACTCAGAGAGTCATGTTTCCATCCTTTAACATCTACATCAAGACAGAGGTTGGGGGAGAACACTGAACAAGCGTTACCAGCATCTATTCACCATGCACACAGGATCTCGGCTTTTGAGGGCTCTGAGGATACCCAGGAATGTGGTACTTGTGTTTGTAGAGCGGCTGAACACATGGGTGAAAAGTGAGAGCTACTCCTTTGATGGCTTAGGAGAGCATCATTGGCGGAGTCACAAGGTTGCCGGCCCAGCAGGAGCTGGGGACCCAGCAGCAGCAGCAGCAGCAGCAGCAGCAGCAGCAGGGGACCATTGCTGTGTGCCATTGTAGATGTAACCAACCGTCTTATTAAATAAGAAACACAGAAACAATGTAAAAGAGAAAGCCGAGAAGTCAGAGCTCAGAGCTAAAATCTCACCCTT